TTTATTCCGGGATTCACTCCGTGATTCACTCCGGAATTTATCCCAGGATTTATTCCAGGATTCACTCCGTGATTCACTCCGGGTTTTATTCTGGGATTTATCCCAGGATTCACTCCGGCATTTATTCCGGGATTTATTCCAGGATTTATTCCCGAATTTATTCCGGGATTAATCCCGTGATTCCCTCCGTGATTCACTCCGGGTTTTATTCTGGGGTTAATTCCAGGATTTATTCCGGGATTCACTCCGTGATTCACTCCGGGTTTTATTCTGGGATTCACTCTGGGATTTATTCCGAGATTAATCCCGCGATTCACTCCGGGATTCATTCCGGGATTCACTCCGGGTTTTATTCCGGGATACATTCCAGGATTCACTCCAGGATTAATTCTGGGATTAATTCCAAGATTTATTCCGTGATTCACTCCGGAATTTATCCCAGGATTTATTCCAGGATTTATTCCGGGATTTACTCCGGGATTTATTCCGGGATTTATCACAGGATTAATCCCGCGATTCACTCCGGGATTCACTACGAGTTTTATGCCAGGATTCACTCCGTGATCCCGACCCCAATCCCCAATTTTAACCCCTTCTTTCCCCGTCCCGAGCAGAAACAAACGAGCGAGGCGAGCCTGCAGCAGCTCATGAGCAACCTGGACTGCAACAGCGACAGCGAGGTGGATTTCCAGGAGTACGCGACATTCCTGGCCTGCCTGGCCATGATGTGCAACGATTTCTTCCAGGATCTCCCGGATAAAATGCCGCGCAGGAAGTGATGGCTCGGCCGTGTCGCCTCCCCGGGGCTCTCCCGGTGATATTTTAATAAATTTTGGTTGAATCGAAGCGGTTTTTTTGTTTGGTTTTTTTTTTTTTGTTTTGTTTTGTTTTGTTTTGTTTTGTTTTTTTTCCGCGGGGTTCTCCACGCTCTGGGGGATCCGCGGGGGCGGGAGCGGAATGGGAGTGAAACGAGAGAGGAGCGAGAGCAGAACGGGAGAGGAACGGGAGAGGAATGGGAGAGGAACGGGAGCGGAACGGGAGAGGAACGGGAGAGGAATGGGAGTGGAACGGGAGAGGGACGGGAGAGGGACGGGAGAGGAACGGGAGAGGAATGGGAGTGGAACGGGAGCAGGACGGGAGAGGAACGGGAGCGGAACGGGAG